TCAGGCAATCCACTCACCTCAGCCTCCCAAAGCACGGGATTACAGGCTGAGCCACCAAGCCTGGCTAAGGTAATCCCATTTTACAGATGAGGGATCCAAGACACAAAGTGATTAAGTAAACTGCCGATGTCACACGGTCAGAATGCAGCAGAGCAAAAGTAACACCTAGGCAGTCTGGTTCCAGAGTTGATGCTTTGATTCACTATGTACAAGGTGCTTATATGAGTTAAGTAAGATAATACACAAAAAAGCACTTAGCTTTTTCAAAGTTCCTCACTAATAGCAGGTGCTCAACAAATGTTAATTGTCTTTCTGCCTTCACTGAAATGTAATCAGGGCTTTTTACAGCCAGGTTCTAAAAAGCAGCATTTTCTATTTTTATTTATTTATTTATTTATTTTGAGTTGAATTTATTTACTTTGTCACACAGGCTGGAGTGCAGTGGCACATTCACAGCCATCGCAGCCTCTACCTGCTGGGCTCAGGTGATTCTTCCGCCTCAGCCTTCCAAGTAGCTGGAACTACAGGGATGCCACCATATCCAGCTAGTTTTTTGATTTATTGTAGAGATGAGGTCTCTCCAAGTTGCCCAGGCTGGTCTCGAACCCGTGGGCTCAGGCAATCCTCTCACCTCGGCCTCCCAAAGTGCTGGGATGATAGGCATGAGCCACAGCACCCGGCAAAAAGCAGCATTTAAAAAAAAAAAAAAGAGTCCTTCTGAAAATTTAAAACACCATTCCAGGGAACTGATCCGCTAAAGATATATAGGTAATATTCTGTGAATGGCATTTAATGCCTCTTTGCCACCACAACCTCTGAGAAGCCATCTCTAATTCCTGCCAGCTGAAAAAAGCAGAAAAATTATCATCCTTGTTACATAAATGAGGAAACCGAGGTTCAGAATTTCCCAAGGTCATATTGCTAATAACTGGTGGAGCTAGAATGTGAATGCTGGCAGTTTGATTCTAGAGCTTCTACTCTTAATAACTTATTATTACAAGTGTGGTCCATAGACAAGCTGCCAAGTGAACAAACTGTCCTCAGTCCATGACAAGAGAGGGAGCATGCACCAGTCACTAAACACAGTTTAATTTAGCCAACTTTTTTTTTAATAACAAGACTTTTTTGCTGGGTGCAGTGGCTCATGCCTGTAATCCCAGCACTTTGGGAGGTAGAGGCAAGAGAATTGCCTGAGCCCAGGGGTTCAAGGCCAGCCTGAGCAACATGGCAAGACATCGTCTCTACAATAAATCAAAAAATTAGCTGGGTGTGGTGGCATGTGCCTGTTGTTTCAGCTACTCGGAAGACCGAGGCAGAAGGATCATCTGAGCCCAGCAGGTCGAGGCTGCAGTGGCCATTAGTATGACACTGCACTCTGCATGGGCAATGGAATAAGATCTCGACTCAAACAAAACAAAACACTCTCTTGATAAAAGAAGCAAAGTATTAACGTACAGTTTGTTTTCTCAGAGTGGTACCTCCCAGAGTGGCACAGTTCTAAATTATTACTCTACTTCACTTTTGTGAACTCTCTTTGCACTTCATCTTTCACATACCACCTTCCACTATAGCCATGTCTCTCAGTATGTGTGTGTGCACTGTGTGTGTGTGTTTCCCAAAATAAGAAAGGTTCACCTTAGTGTCCTCCAGTCAGAATGTCTAATGCGGTATCTACCACATAGCAAGAAAAGGCTCAATCTAGTTAGTTTTTTTGAACTAACTAAAAGGACTTTTATAAACTTTACAAAATGTGTACCACATAACTGAATTGTGTAGACATAGTCAAAAACTTGTCATTCTTTCAACAATGGCCGAATGTCTTTCATGTACATGGCAGGCCTCGGGCTTGGTGCTAAAGAAACAAAGAAGGAATCTGGAAGGAATGCATAGTCAGAGGGAAGAGGAGCTGACGCATGAGTAGATCATTCAAGTCCAGAGCACTAAGTGACATGATAGAGGTGTGACAAGTGTTGAAAGAGCAACCAACTCTCTGGGGCATCAGAAAGAGATAAAGAACATTTTTAGGCTTAAAAGAACTGAAGCACTGTCAGCTGTGAGAGCTGAAGTCACAGGTTATTATCAAATCTTCTAAAAAGCACTTTTAGAACAGTTGCACTCTAAGTTATAAAGATTTAAAAGTTCAAATTTGGTCTAAGAACTTAAAATAAGACCCTATACAACCAAAAGTATTGGGGTCAGGCAGGACTGGGTTTAAATCAGGCAAGTTACTCGTTTTGTGACTTTTGATCTTTCTGAGCCTTGGATTTCACATCTGTAAAATGGGAATATACTAGTATCTAATGAATAAGAAAGTATAATTTTTTGCCATATCCATACACTATTTTGCCAAAAGGGCAAACTACCTAGACTTTTATTTATTAAATATTTTTCTTTTAAATACAATCACTTAAAAAATTAATTTTAAAAGGAAACTTGAGATGTGGAACAACTTAGAACTCTTAAACATTGCTGGTGAGAAAGTAAAATAGCCATTTTGTAAAACAGTTTGGCAGTTTCTTAAAAATTCAAGCACAGACTACACTTACCATTTGAACCAGCAGTCATACTCTTAGAGAAATGAAAACTTAAGTTCTCACAAAAACCTGTACATATTTAAAGTAGATTTATTCATAAGAGCTAAAAACCAAAAACACAAATGTTCTCCAATCAGAGAATGAATAAACTGTGGTATATCCTTTCAGTGAAATGCCACTCAGCAACAAAAAGGAACAAATTACTTGATACTGGCAATGGCATGGATGAATCTCACATACATTATGCTAAGTGAAAGAAGCCAGATGCAAAAGGAAAAATATCATATGATTCCATTTATATGGCATTCTGAAAAAGGCAAAATGCTATGTTCATTGTGGAGAGAAAAGACATCAAAAATTGCCAGGGATTAAGGATGGGGGGAGGGACTGATGACTACAATTGACTACAACTACTGTTGCTAGAGGGAACTTTTTGGGATGATGGAAACACTCTTTATCTTGAACACATTATGTTAAGTGAAAGAGGCTAGACACAAATAGCCACACACTGTATGATTCAGTTTATATGATACTCTGGAGAAGTTAAAATAACAGGGACAGAAAATTGATCAGTGTTGCCTGGAACTTGAGTGGGCGGGGGAGGAGAAAAGTGAGTACACCAGGGCACCAGGGAATCTGGTAGGTTAATGGAACTGTTCTGCATTTTGATTGTGGCAAACAATATACCTAAAAAAAGTAGATTTTACTACATATAAATTATATATCAAAAGCCTGATTTAACCAAAAAGTAGAGTATGCTACCTATACCAAGAACATCCCATCCAATGGCGTCCTTCATACCTTTCCTCGACTTTAATGGAGAGCTGGTTGCAGAGGTTGTGAACATATTGGGCATAACTTTCTGCCAGGGTCATGTCATATGCAGTCAGGTGGATGTTTAAAACCCCATATTCATAATCTGTCCCCAGATTAATAGGTCTCACTTCAACTTTTCCCCTCTTCTTCTTGAGCTGAACAGAAAACAAAAAGAAAAAATAAATCAAAGTGTTATGCAAGAAATTCTAATAATGTCATCTTGATATTTTAAAAAGTCAACCTCGCAAATAAATTTCTTCATTTTTCTCTCAGGTTACCCTAGCTATAAAATGAAATTCTCCTGGGAAGGAATGAGCAGCTTATCTTGCTAGTGTGGGCTGTGACATTAGCCAGTACAAGGAGAGAGAATATTGTTGTTATCAGTTGAACACATGAATTACTTGAATATATGGAATACTTCAATACATGAATTCCTTGAACATAAATACATGTGACTGTCTTCTGTTATTACCTTATTTTGAGACTCACCTCCTATCCCTGGCTCTCTGTTTCTCAATTTGTAAATTAATGGGGTTATGCTAGATTTAAAAATTTTTAACCCATAGATTAATCGCAAGGGGTCTATAAGGACCCAAATACATATGCAAAATTTTACATGTACATGTTTCTTAGGAAAGAATCCTGAGTTTTTCTCAAAATCTTAAAGAAATCAACAACAAGGACTTTCAGTTGTCTTCTAGTCCTCCTAGCTCTGAAATTCTACAATTCTCTATACAGCTTTTCTTTTGAGAACTGAGAGGTAGAATAATTAATGTGTTCAAAATATTGCCACAAATACAAAAAGAATAGGTGGGAGAGAATAGACGTGTATGTCCACATGCACATGAGCATATGTGTAATTACATATATACTTATTTGCTTGCATATCTAAAAAATATCTCTGGAAGAATGTACAAAAATACTAATATCTAATATCATTGTCTGCCAGTGAGGTATCCGGGTGGATGGGGTATAGATGTTCAAGAAAAATTTAAACTATTTTCCTTCTATGTTTAAAAAAAATTTTGTTTTTTGAGTCAGAGTCTCACTCCATCACCCAGGCTGGAGTGCAGTGGCATGCTCACGGCCACCCCAGTATCGACCTGCTGGGCTCAGGCAATTCTTCCGCCTCAGCCTTTCAAGTAACTGGAACTACAGGCACGTGCCACCACGCCCGGCTAATTGTTTTATTTATTGTAGAGACGAGGTCTTGCCAAGTTGCCCAGGCTGATCTCGAACCAGTGGGCTCAGGCAATCCTCTCACCTTGGCCTCCCAAAGTGCTGGGATTATAGGCATGAGCCACCACACCCAGCCTATTTATTTACTTATTTATTCATAAAGACCGCGTCTCACTATGTCTTGAACTCCAGGGATCAAGCGATCCTCCTGCCTCAGTCTCCCAAAGAGCTAAGATTACAGGTGTGAGCCACTGCACCTGGCCCTTTTTTATTTGTAAAGATGGGGGGGGGTCTTGCTTTACTGCCCAGGCTGGTCTTGAACTCCTGGCTTCAAGCAATCCTCCTGCCTAGGCTTCCCAAAATGCTGGGATCATAGACGCAAGCTACTGCATCCAGTAAATCTATTCTGCTTTAAAATTTTGATTTGTTTTGTTTTGTTTTTTTTGTTTGTTTGTTTGGTTTTTTTTTTGAGTTGGAGTCTCACTCTGTCGCCCAGACTGGAATACAGTGGCCGCTCCCGGCC